GAGGCCAAAGGACAACCTTGGGTGTCTTCCTCAGGAGCCTTCCACCTTGTTTTTTTGTTTTTTTTTTTTTTTTTTTTGAGATAGGGTCTCTCACTGGCCTGCCCTGGAGCTTATCAAATAGACTAGGCTGGTTGGCCAGTGACTCCCTGGAATGCTCCTGTCTCTGCCTCTCCAGTGCTGGGATTATAGGCACTCACCACTAAGCCTTTTAAATGGGTTCTAGAGTTTGTACTCAGGTCCTCATGCTTGCAAGGCAAACACTTTACTGACTGAGCTATCTCCCCCAGCCCAAGCAGTCTGCTTTTGAAATCCAGAAGGGAGTTCCAGAAAGAACAATATGAGGAAGAAAAATGAAATGAAAATTTCCCTAAAATGAAGGATGTCACTTAAAAGAATTCACTGAATGCAGGACAGGCATGGTGGTGCACACCTTTAATCCCAGCACTTGGGAGGCAGAGGCAGGCAGAAATCTTTGAGTTCAAAGTCAGCCTGGTCTACATAGGGAGTTCCAGGCCAGCTGGGGCTACAGGGAGACCCTGTCTCAAAAAGACCCGCTCCCCAAAAGAATTCACTGAACTCTGGGCAGGCTTAGCTGGTGAATGATCTTTGCTGTAAGCATTCTTTTATATCAGGAATAACTAATTCACAAATACTTTCTTTAGTTTCGTGTGTGTGTGTGTGTGTGTGTGTGTGGTGTGTGTGCATGTGTGTGTGTGTATGTGTGTGTGTGTGTGTGTGTGTGCGTGCATGTAGGGAGGCCCAAGGTTGATATTGGGAATCATTCTCAATCACTGTGGAAACATTCATTGAGACAGGGTCTTTCAATGAAACACAGAGCCTGCTGATACTGCTAGTCTTGCTGGCCAGCTTTGCTGTTTGCCTTCTGAGGCTGCAATTGTAGGTGGGCCACCACAACCACCTGGCATTTATGTTGGCTCTGGGAACCCAAACTCTGGTCCTCATAACTGAGAAGCAAGTGCTTTAACTACTGAGCTACCTCCCCAGATCCACAAAAAAATTTAAACCGGTAATCTATAAGGGAAAGAAACTCATACTGGCAACAGAGTTAATAATGGTTGGTTTTAAAATTCTGAGAATAGTTTTTTTTTTTTGGTCTTTTTGAGACAGGGTCTCCCTGTAGCCCCAGCTGACCTGGAACTCGCTATGTAGACCAGGCTGGCCTCGAACTCACAGAGATCTGCCTGCCTCTGCCTCCCAAGTGCTGAGAATAGTTTTTAACCTAGAATTTTATATCTTGTCAAACTAGTATGTTAGACAGGAAAAAATTCAAACTTTGAAGTAAAATGAATGGATACAACAGGCCTACAACCAGCTCAGTTGGCATAGGATAGAGGCTCCTGGGCAATAGGTCTGAAAAACGAAGACCTGATCGAATAGTTGATGAGAGGTTGAAGCAAACTAGGACTACAATGAAGCTAGAGTACAAGAAAATGGTGACTGAGAAACTCCAGGAAGGGGCTGGGCGATGGCTTGGTTGCTAAGTGTTTGCAGTGCAAATGTGAGGACCTGAGTTCCATCTCTAGAACCCACATTAAAAAACTTGGGACTGGAGAGATGGCTCGGTTAAGAGCACTGATTGTTCTTGTAGAGGACCCAGGTTTGATTTCCAGCATCCACAAGGTGACTAACAACCATCTGTAACTCCAGTTCCAGGGGATCTGACACCTTCTTCTGACCTCCAAGGGCATTGCATGACACAGGTGCACCTACCTACATGCAGGCAATACACTTTAAAAAATAAAGATAACATAAAAAATATAAAAAAAAAACCTGGGTGTGATGTGGTACACACTTGTGATCCTAGTGCTGAGAAGTGGGGACAGGCAGATTCCCTGGGGCTCACTAGTCAGCCAGCCTGATCTTCAAGTTCTAGGCCAAGTGAGAAACTATCTCAAAAAGCAAGGTAGAAGCTGGGCATGGTGGTACACAACTTTAATCCCAGCACTCTGGAGGTAGAGGCAGGTGGATAACTGCCACTAGTTTGAAGCCAGCCTAGTCTACATAGCAAGTTTCAGGACGGAGAGGGCTGTATAGTGAGACTGTGTTGAAACAAAACAGCAACAAAGTCCTCTAGCTCCTAAGCACCCGAGGAATAACACTCAAGGTTGACTTTTGACCTCTACATGCATGTGTACACATGGGCACACACACATGCATACATGCAGAAACTCCATGGAAAACAGAAAAGCTATATATGGAAGAAAGTAACTGGTACCTTTCCTGGTTCTGCAGTGATTAGTAGATACAATAATGTGCACTTGGTCCATTAACTTTCAACCTTTAGACTCAATATATAGATATTTGGACAACATGAATGTGGTTATAGGAAAATGTGTTACCAATAAGTATATTTTAAACAATGAAAATATAGGTTAGAGATTTGGGGAGGTAGAAGGCAGGAAGGAAAGCCCAAGAGAAAGTAGAAGGGAGGGTAAGGACTAAAAACGTTATCTTTATCAGTGGGATGTCCCAAGAAATTTGATGAAAAAAGAACAATGTAAGAATAATCGGTTTGCAAAGGTGTCAACAAATCCAAACTAACCAATCTTGCAAGGATGGGGAGAGAGGTGTCTTCCAGGGCAGGGAAATGGAAGAGATAAAAAAAAGGAAACTAGGCAGAAAGGTTCAGATGAAACCTTTGCAGTTGCTCTGAGAAGTGCTGGGCACTCTTGCTTTTCACCAGCAAATAAGCTCTTCAGGACCCTTGAGCCATGTGTATTTATTTTTTGGTAAAGTTGAAAGGCAATGTTGAGTCCCAGCTATTGGTCACTGTATTAGGGGCTGATGATAGTGATGGACAAGCATCATTCATGCCCCAAAGTGCTTTCAAGCTTGTGACTGCAGGTCCCCCTCCTCGCCTCCCCAAAGACCTCCAATCTCACCATGTTTAAAACACCATGCATTCCCTGTCAGTGCCCCTGGCTTCCCACTGTTATGATGCAAGGCCTCACCAATTCCTGGAGGCCATTCAGACCCTACTGCTCCTCCAGTGGCCAGAGAAGACTCCTGCAGACCGTTTTCTGAGCACGTGGTCTCTTGCAGACCTTCCAGAAAACCCTCTGCAGGTTGCGTGGGTTTGCCTGCTTTGAGTCTGACCTTTAGCAGAGTCTCACACAAGGTGGGGTGCTCAGTGATCATCTCTGCAAAGAAATTAAATTCCTAACCCTTCACTCTACCAAACTGCAAAACAAAACATACCTGTGTGCACGTGCACTGGCGCACATGCTTACCTTGGGCTAAATTCCTTGGGATCCCAGAAGGGTTCTGGGCCCGCGTTTTTGCCAAGGGTAGGCTGCAGCGGTAATCAGGGGCACCGGGAAAGGGTTGAGCTGGGGTCAACTTTCTTTTCCCACATCCCAGGCAGACACGGGCCTGGCTGCTGCTTAGGCTTATTCCCCTTTCCCTGCCCCCGCCCCCACTTTGCTATCCCCCGGCACCTGGTACCGCCCAATCTACTCGGTTGTCGGCTCCCACCTGTTACCCCCATGCTGACGGAGGCTGTCGGGGAGGCGGGGAGCGGGCTGGTGTTGCTGCCTCTCCGCCTCCAGTGCGCTCTTTGGCTGGTGGGGTGGAGGGTACTGGAGATGCTGGGGGCGCTGGCGCCTGTGATGCTGCAGCTTCTGTGACGTTCCTGCCCATCTGGCAGTTAGGAAATGGCTCTTCTGGGTGCCTGGCTTGGGTGTGGGTGTGAGCAGCGGAGGAAGGCTCTTCCAAGGCTTGGCAGCCCAGCAGCCTGGGCCTCGGCCAAGTCCTGTGGCAGCAGGTCCCTCTGCAGCAGGGCTCCAGCATGTGGACAGCGACCATGGGTAAGCTGGAATCTCTGGATAGGGCTTGGAACTGTGGGCACAAGGCTGATGTCGTTTTCTTGGGCCTAGGATTCCTCCAAGAAATGGTTGAATCAACCAAAGCTGTACATATACGCACTGGATGCATGCATGCACACACGCACAGCTTTCTAGGGATGGGCTTATGTTTTTTAAATTTTTTTATGTATGAGTGTATTACCTACATAAATGCACCAGTGTCGTGCAGTGCCCACAGAGGTCGGAAGAGGGCGTCGGATTCCATTGGAATGGGAGTTATAGATGGTTAGCCACCAGGTGGGTGCTGGGAACTGAACCTAGGTCCTATGCAAGAGCAGCCAGTGCTCTGAACCACTGAGCCATCTTTCTAGTCCCTAAATATTTTTTTAAAGTTACACTTATTTGAGGGGTGGGCCTGTGTGTGGAAGTCAGACAACTTTTGGGAGTTCATTCTCACCTTCTACCATGTGGGTCCTTGGGTTCTCAGGCTTGGTGGCAAACCTCATCCCCTGAGCCATTTCAGTGGTTTTCTTAACCAGCTCCCTTCTTCCACTACTTTCAAGGAAATGTCTCACATATAGCCTAGGCTAGCCTCAAACTCTCTATGTAGCTCAAGGCTGGCCTTATTCCTGAAGCTCCTGACTCCACCTCCCAAGTGCTGGGATCACAGGCGGGCACCAGAAAACTCAGCACTTTCCTGGGATTGGAGCCAGATCAGACAATGCACCACGTGCTGTCTCCATTCTACATCACCCTCTGCTCTATGATGAAGGAACTCTGTCCGGAAAAGTCATCACCACCCCATGCAGATGTTCAGACCCATACCAAGTCAGCCCTCCGGTTGCCAGGCTCAGGGACAGGAGTGCTGAGTGACAACACTGGGGCAGGCAAGTCCTCCCCCTCTTGTGCTGCTGGGCCGCCTGGCCTCTTGACATGTGCAAATACTTGCCTCCTCCCCTCAGCCCAGGATTTGGCTAGGGAGATTCCTGCTGCCACCAGGGGATGGTGAGAGATCCGGAGGAGTGGTAGGACAAGAGGGCAGCTTCATGGCTGATGCCAGTCCTTGCCCCAAACAATGGGAAGACTTGAAGAAATCCACCTAACAGCTGTCAGGGTCATGGGGTACAGCAAGCAGGCAGGCAAGAAAGGAGACATCACAGCCTACAAACACCCATCATCACGCCAAATTTTATTGCTTACAGAGCTCTGTACATTCCAAACGCTGCAGCACTGTGGCTGCAGGTCTTCATCTGCGGGGCCCAGGGGCAGCCTGGGTCCATGCAAATAGCTGCACAGAGGCTACCCTGTCTGGATGGGGGTGAGAGTCTCCCGAGGAGGGAGTCTGTCTCTCTCCCCACAATGATTCACAGTTAACTTAATGCTACATGAGTCTTGAGCAACTATTCCCAAGCCCTAACAGAAAAGCCTTGGCTAGGGCAACGGGGTTAAGGGTGCTCATCTTAAATCTGAAAGAGGCTTGAGGAGTTATGCCCATGTGGATGGGTCAAGACTGAGTCCCTTCCCCATCCCCTGGCCTGCCGGTGCCCATGCAGAGCCAGTGCTCTGCTGGAGGGCAGCCAGGAAAGTGCTTTGAGGTCATCGGAGTGCAAAGTGCTGCTGGCAGCGTTCTGCCATCATGAAGATGGCATGCTGAATGTTGACTATGTGCCCTGGGGGCAGCAAGTTTTGCAACTGTGGCTTTCTTTAGCATCTATCATTCACAGACCATTCCTGTCAGGTGGCTCTCATGCTACCCTTCATTTTCACAGATGAGGGAATAGAGTGCCAGCTTGTCACAGGGTAGGCCTCAATGAGGCCTGATGCTCTGAGAAGTGGTGGCCATCAGTCACAGGCTTGGGGGCTGAGCACTTCTCTGCGATACCATCTACGGTCCTTGGTTGAACTGGAATTCAACTCAGGACATGGGTGGCCACAACCTGAAGGTATGGTGCATCCTACCAAGGGGCCAGCCTCTTTTCTGCTCCCTCCATCCCACCTGAGTCCACAGCCAGGGAGACCAGACAGATGGTGAGAGACTCCATTAGGCCCTGGGCAGGCACACCTGCTGCCTTGCCCTTTATGAGCTGGGTGGGAGCTCTTGGAGACCCTCCTACCTGCATGGGGGCACCTGCTCCTTCTGAACCAGGCTAGAAGATACTCCCCAAGTGCTCACTGGTCCAAATGGGTCAGGCTATCTTGTTTGGAGTAGCACAGACAACACTCCCTCTCTTCCTGGGGGATGGGACCACTACTTTCCTCCCTGTTTCCTCACATGGGTGGAGTTTCTCTTGCCAAGGAACTGGCAGGACTCAGGTGGGAAGTCCTGGGAAGTGTTTCACTTGCCCCCTTTTCTGCTACAAGCCCTGCTTTCACTGCTGAGCCAGGGGCTGGCAGATCCCTCTGAGTAGACTAAGTCTGCACCTCAGGGTGGCACTGAGCATGGAGATTCAAAGGAAGCCTGCTGTGGGCAGAGCGGTACTGGTGGTAGAAGGCAGAGCTAGGGTCGGTTCTCCAGCTGGCCATGTTTGACCCTCCAGCTCCATGCAAAGCTGCCATCAGGGGCCAGGGTGCACTGCAGGTCGATGCCCGAGTCTGGCACCTCCATGTCATAGCGAACAGGCTGTCCATCTTTGGTCACCAAGCTGAAGGCTGTGGCTGGGATCTGGGGGTAGAGCAAACCAATGGAGCTGAGATGGCGGCATGGGGTAAAAAGGCTACCTAGAATGTAAAACTGATGGTCCTTGAACATTCTGGGAGATAGCTCCTCGCCAAACAGCCTGGAGGGCACCGTCTGTCCTTCATTCTGGAGGACTTGGAGAATCCCTTCTAATCCAAGTGTGGATCCTGAGACTCTCAACCACCCCTACCTGTCTTGCCCTGAGACCTGGCCATGGCCAGCTATTCCCCAGGGTGCCATGTCTACTTATTTAAAAGCCTTTTTTCTGGAGGGTGAGGACTATGTTCCTATGTGTGTACCTGCCTCCTTACCTGGCTGCTGATGCCAGTTGCAATGTCTCCCACCTTGACCCGGTGGAATTCCCGGATGTGAAGGTGTTCACCATTGAGAGACTGTATTTGGACTTTGACACCTAGAAGGCAAGGGCTGACAATCAATAGGGTGGAACAGCTACTGGTTTTTCAAGAAGCAGAGACCTGCCAGGGGTAAGGGAGGGCCTCTGTTAAGTCACTCTGTCTTCTGTGGAGGGGAGCAGGTCTGACTTGGATAAAGCAGCAGCGAAGGTTGAATGGCTCCAGAATTACACGGCAACACCTGGGATTTTGCCTGTACATTTGCTAAGAGCTGAGGTTGGCCCCCAGGGGAAAGTGGTACTCTGTCATAGTTCGCTTCAGTTGTCAATTTGACACACCTGGGGAAAGGGTACCTCAATCAGGAACTGTCTCCACTGGATTGGCCTGTTTGTCTCTAGGGCATTTTCTTGATTGCTAATTCCTGTAGGAGAGCCTGGCCCAATGTGGCAGTACCATCCCTAGGCACGTGGGCTTATGCTATCTAGGAAAGGTAGCTGATGTGAGCCTGGGAACAAGCCAGCAAGCAGCATTCTTCCATGATCACTGCTTCAGTTCCTGCCTCCAGGCTCCTGGTTTGACTTCCTGTCTTGACTTCCCTTAATGGTGGACTGTGACCTGTAAGCCAAATAAACACTTCCCAAAGTTGCTTTTGGCCAGTGTTTTATCACAGTAACGGAGAAGAAAACTAGGGCATGCTCCAACCTGGATGCAAAACAATAAGGCAAAGAACATAAAGATTCTTCTCGACCACCCCAGACTGTATTGGTTTACTGCCTGTCTTAACTTTTTGCTCTTCATAAACCCTTCACCTTTTTATTTTTCCAGTTCAGTTAACTGACATAAACTTGACCAAACAAAAATGCACATGATATAACAAATAGTTCTTTTACAGTCTTGTACAAATCCAAATAACGCAGACTAAATTCTTCTTTTAGGATAATGTATTCAGGGCTGAGGCTATAGCTCAGAGGTGGAGCACTAGCCTAGCATGTACAACAGCCCTGGGTTCAACCTCCCAGCACAAGAAAAAAAGATAATGTATCAATATTCATTTTCTACTAATATTTAAAAAAATTATTATTTTTATTTTATGTGTATGCGTGTATTGCTTGCATGTAGGTAAGTGCACCCATGTCGTGCAATGCCCTCAGGGGACAGAAGAGGCTGTCAGATCCCCTGGAACTGGAGTTACAGACAGTTGTTAGCTGCCATGTGGGTGCTGGGATTCGAACTTGGGTCTCCTGCAAGAACAACCAGTGTTCTTAATCACTGAGCCATCTCTCCAGCCCCATAATAATATCATTTCTAAATGATACTAACTGACATCCCTTTTGTAAAGCCCTCTATTTTGTGAGATATAGCTACTGACTTTGTGATTACAAAGTTCATTCCTGTGTTCAAAGTTAATGCCCTCTTGACTGTTCCTAGTTTTCTGTTTTGTTTTGTGCAGGGTAGGGTCTCCCTACAGCCCTAGCTAGCCTGGAACTCTATGAAGTCCAGGCTGGCCCTGATCTCATAGAAATTGGCCTGCTTCTGCCTCCCAGTGTTGGGAGTAAAGGTGTGCGCCACCACAGCTGGCATTGCTCCTAGTTTCTGAGCGTAAACAATGTATTTAAGTGTATACAATTTTAGTTTTCCTGAATCCATTTAAAAATCTCTAACGAATGCAGGACGCGGTGGCGCACACCTTTAATCCCAGCACTTGGGAAGCAGAGGCAGGTGGATTTCTGTGAGTTCAAGGCCAGCCTGGTCTACATAGTGAGTTCCAGGACAGCTGGGGCTATAGGGAGACCCTGTCTCAAAAAGACCAAAAAAA